TGTCGCATGTCCACCTAGAAACATCTGAGTGTGAATTTACAGGGTACTTTGTATCATATTCCACACCTTACATTCAAGCCACATTTCCAGTCAGTTTCAGCAGGAGCTCAGTATATGCAGACTTAGCTTCAGTTCTTTGCTTTGTATCCTTGCTATCCTAAAAGACTGGAAAAACTGATCTCAACATCAGACTACCCAGCTACCTAGAACCACTCTGGAACTCTTGTAAGAGTCTAGAGAAAAACACACTGTAATCAGCGAGCATCAAATTGCCTTAGACTACAGAGCTGTATTATTTTCTTTCTGTTGTGTACTACTTCTCTCACTATACACATTTTAATCTCTAAAACAACAAGGTAGAAATGCAATGAGGTTTTTTTCTGTGCAACCAATCTCACCACTAGGACAGCAATTGTAATGACTGCAAATGTGAAGCTTAGCTTTATAGAAGCTAACATCTGAATGCTTGACTGAAACTGCAATATTACCTTAAACACAGGAGATTTAATGGGATTTCAGTTAACACATTCAGCTGGGGAAAAGGGACCTCACATGAATCTATCTGGGACACTGCAAAAGAAAGATCTTATGTTCCTTTATACTGAACTTTCCCACTTGAACCCCAAGTAAAATATTACTAAGTCAGTTATTACTCCAACTGTAATAACCTAGTTTCATGGCAAAAAAAAAAGAGGGATAAGGGAAAAAATCCCACTGTATTTGTACTACCAACACCAGTGATGAGAGCAACTGCAACTTCTATTCACTTCAGATACCATCATCAGAAGCAAAATATGTTACTGTTTTGGTATTAATTCTTAAATTCCCTAAGCCAGACAGAAGTAAAAATGTATTTTTAAAAGTGCCATGCCAAACATATTTAATTATGTTTAATATATGAAATATATTTTATAATAATATAAATATAATAAAATTATTGTATTAATTTTAGTAGAAAAATTTTGCCCCCTCTGCTTCAGTTTACGTTTATACCAAATACATACAAAATGAGATATCAAATCACATGCCAGACAAAATATTAAATACTAAACATCCGATTAACTATCCCCTATCTTATACTTTCCTTGTTTTTAAGAAGCTACTCTCCTATTGTTTACATACACAAGTTTCTAAAGCTTTCAGGTATACCATCAACAAACTTTCTCAGTAGTAACGGTTGCTTCACTGCTTGCATACCAAAAGAAACCTGAACTACACTACACTGTAGTATGCCACAGGAAAGTGATCAACAAGCAGAATGAAACACATTTAGGTGTTTTTTCAGCAGGTAAAGACATATGACAGAGATAATGAATGCTAACAAATAAACTATTTTTGCTCCTCTGTATCTATTGAATACAATTTAATCAAACTTCTATTGAACAAAAATAAACATTGATATTATTTATTTTACTAGGGACTTGATGCTTAACAGGAACAGGAAACTTTCCAATACACCAAACATCTAAATCAATTGCATTTCCTACAATAATTCACGTCCTATGAAAAGTTAATCTTCATTGCTGTTTCAGAAACTATATAATGGGGTCAGTTTCATTGAGATAAGTACAGTTAAATTTTAACACAGCAGGGATTTGTCTTTGTCTTCATGCAGAATGCTGGTTCACTTTGTGATGGTTACTGCTTATTTCTATAGATTTGCATTGTCTAGTAATGTGCCGCCAATGAGTGAAGATAATGAAATTGAAAAAATTAATGTAAAAGCAATGATAACACTTGGATGTACCAATATAGTAAACATCCTGTGTGTGACCAGGAGGTACCTTTATGCCCAGGCAAATATGATATACACATTATTTGCAGGCAGATGCTTTCATATGGCAGACTTTTTTGTTTTCCGCTTTTGAGGCAAATCCTTAGATTTAAGAGAACTGACAATAAATATTGTCTCTTTGGCCATATCTCTAACCTCCAGGTTAGTAAGTACCTCTGATGCCTTTTCTCTGGTTCTAGAATTATGAGCACAGTTAAGGGATAAAAAAGTTATCTTAGTATTTAATAAGGATCCTTAGGTGCAATAATTTGTCAAGGTGGAATATGCTAAAATGCACCCACACGGTATATTGCATATATAATTTTATGGACTTTGTAGATTAGTATATTTTACAAAGGTTCCTTAACGAGAAGTTTAAATGAATGGCATGACATTTCTTTATTTTAAAGCATACTTCCCTACATGGGGCTTGAATCCAGTTTACAAAGTGTGTTCTAGAGAGGGCTTTGGTTTCTCAAGATAGTGTAAGGTTTTTCGGCACCCAAATGCGAGGCCTTTATGATGTCTGGGTTTTTTGTCCAGCAGAATATCAGGACTATGCCAAGATATCAGGCTTAAAGAATTACAAGTATGTATGCTAAGAATACTGAGAATACATAAAAGGTATATACAAAGAAAGTGCAAAAAATCATCCTGGGATCACCTCCATGGGAGCACAACATTTTATTAACTATTTCAGAGTTTATTGGAGTAACAGTGAAGTAAGAGTGTTTACTTCAGTTGCCTGAAACTAAGAAGGGGAAAATAAGTTGCTAAAACATAATAAATCACAGAGAAAGAAGCCCATGCAAGAGCAAACACATAGTTATTGCAAAATTTTTGATGTGCTTTCTTCAGAGCAAATCAAAGGCTGAATTTACTGAGCAACAGCTCAGCAGCAACAGAACTAATCAAAGACTCAGTTCTGGTGTCTCTTTGCTTTGTAGATAAGGTTACCAAACAGAATATGTCATGCCAGACCATAAAGGGAAAGCCTGACGTCTTTTACCTCTGTGAAAGTGTGTACTGGTATAATGATCTCAACCCCAGTGGATGTATGTGTGTACATGCTTCCGTGTAGGGTCCACTGCCTCCTCCCTCCAAACTGTAGAATTTTCCTCTCCTTAAGGTTAAATTTAGTATCTACTGGCTAACTCACTAAAGTTACTTGAGGAGATGGATGAATTAGCAACATCATTGCTTAAAACTGATTTGCTCCACAAAACTGGACTCTAATTTCTATGTAATTTTTAGAGGCACATATTGCAGACCGTTTTCAGCTCCTGGTTTCCCCAGCCTATCTGAGGAGCACTTGCAGAACCAAAACCTACTTTCCAAGCCAGCGACTCAACTTCCCTACTTTGAAGACAAAAATAAAACCAAACCTGAACTGTTTTTTCCTGTTGTTTTGCTTACTTAGACAAAATTCAAGTGAAGTTAGAGCGGTATCAATATAAAATTGAAGGCAGGTTCCTGTAAATGATGGGGAAATTTATCTTAATCTAGCAATTAAGAACAGGAAATTAAATTCACAGCAACTACTGTGTTTTGGTATTTCACATCATGAACCCAAGTAATTTCAAATGAACAAAAAATTGTGTGTTTCCATAGAAACAGGTTAGATGAGGACGTATATTACCTAGTGCTCTCAGCAAACCAGACTACATAGTGGAAATGTCTTCAAAACACATTTCAAAGACAAATGAAAAAGATTTTAGCAGCAGGACCTTCTTCAATTCTTTTTTTCAAATACTACTGAATTCAATATAGCATATATATAACAAGAGCCTTGATCAAATGCTAATGCCCTTATTGGTAATGCAAGGGTAAACCAGATTGTCAGCATGAATTTCAACATAAATTTGTAAGCAGATATCTCATTTTGCTGTGAAACAGGATTTAAAAAACTGAATTGCTTTTCTTTCTTAAAAAACACATCTTGAATTGACTAAGATAAGTATCAGATATGCCACTGTGAATACTGTTTCTAATAGTTCTAAGTTCTTTCATTCAAGACAGTTTCACACTCCAGAAGCTGGTTTTGTGTAACTAAAGCTTAATTATTTAACTCTAAGAAATAGCAAAGCACATAAAAAATCTAACCTCTTTTGGAGATGCTACCAAAAACTCTAAACACTGTCCAACCTTTGCTCTTCTGAAAGGCAAAAGTAAGTGTGCTCTAATTTAGTCCTTGAACCTCAAAATTGTTCAATGGAATCTGTATGAATCTGTAGCTGATGAGATCTTCCCCTTAGTCTAAAGAAAAATCCTGATACTGAGGCAATTTTTATTAACAGTATATAACTCACAGGAACTTAAAAGTAGAGTCTGAGATATTTCTGGAACATAAATAATATTCCGAGTATTTCTTAAATCTTTACAGCAGTCATAGATTTTTTTTCCTCCAGCTAAGCACAATAAACATTTCTGTGTGAGTTGTAAAGCATACATATACACAAATACAGCAAAAATAGAGTATTAAACAGTTGCACTCAACTTCAACTCAGTATTTGCATGGACAGCAAATACTGAAGCATAAGAACATTATTCCGTAATACACACATGGTAATACAAACTGCAAAATCAATGAAGAGTTAATAGAAAATACTTACATATAGAATACATGGACATACAAATAAACCACAACTTTTGTCAGCAAATTAAACAAAGAACAGGAAAACATTATGAAATTAAAATGCACTAATAAATTTTACCTACAAGGCTAGAGATCAGTGGTAAACTAATTATTTTTATCATTTCTTATATAGCATGCAACCCTATTAGATTTACAGAACATTGCAAATTGCATCAATTAAAGATAAACAGATTAAAAACTTTATAAATCATTAAATGTTTTATGTATTTTACATTAATGACTCATTTACTTGACATAAAAATAAACAAGTATATACCCTGATCCAAAATCTCTGCTTCTTCTTTTTTGGCCTGCTGCAGCAAATAACTTGCATCACTATCCTTGGTTTCTAAAAAATGTATTTAGGATATGATGTTAGCCTTTGCATGTGAATGGAATTGAGTATTCACCTCCTGTGGAAAAACACCCTTTGGAAATGAAACATTTGGTGTTTTCATATATAAACAGTAGCTGTATTGCACAACACAGCACTAAAACAACCAGAATAAAAAATAAGATTTACATTAGAAGATAGAAGTAGAAATAAAATATAGACATAAAAAATATACATAGAAATAAGCAAGTGCATACCCTGATCCAAAATATCTTCTTCTTTTTTGTCCTGCTGCAGCAAAGAACTTGTATCACTATCCTTGAGTTCTGAAAAAAGGGTTTAGAGTATGATGTTAACCACTGCATGTGAAGGGAATTACCACTCTCCTGAGGAAAAAATGCTCTTCTGAGTTAAATATGTCGCATTTTTATCATAGCAGTCATACCACACAATACAACAGTAGAAAAGTTAAATAGAAAACTACAACTTGTACTTGCTACACAGTCACATCAGTCAGATTACCTCTGGATAATACTGTTACTGCAATTTATATGCCTACAACTATTGAATGAAAAAATTTCATTCCTCCCATAACACAGCAGTGGGATCTAGAAAACTAGGGCAATGTTATGATTCAATTTTATAGGAAATAGACAGAAGATAAGACAAACATTACTGTTAACATAAAGTTTGGCATTGAAAAAGAAGCCAGTCTTTAGGGCACACAGGCCACACAACTGTAAAAATATGTTAGAAATTGGAAGACAACATGCGAAAGAAACAGACAAAAGACTATAGCAGACATTTCCACCAAAACCAACAGCACAAACCCATGATGCTTTATTAATTAGCAATTTGAATTTTATGCAGAACTGCATTACCTCTTTATGAAAGTTTTGCATACTAAGATAACAAAGAGAAATACACCAGTGAGCATAAGATGGCATTAATAAAACGGATTACAAGTGTTTTTCACCTTCATTATGTCCATGCATCATCTTCTTCACATCAGACTTGACTGGAATAGGAATATTTGCCTCCTGCGGAATATTTCTGAACATTTCAGGGTTTGTGTTCTGTGTGCAGGTCATATATGAGACAGCATGCTTGGCTTCCATGTAGTACATGATGTAAAAGTTGCACATTTCATCATTGGCAGTACCCCTACACAGTACAGAAAACATGTGGGACTTAGAAAATAAAGAGCTGAATAGCTGTTATTTAATTCATCCAACTTCTTTAACAGGATACTAAAATATTGCAATCAAATGTTTAGATGTTGCAAACCAAAGCATGCAATACCTGCATTGCAGTGAATATCAGAAACTTCTTTTGGTTTATACTGGAGAAAAGCAATGCGGACAAATGCAACAAGATAAGCACAATCACATCTCCTTCAGACAAAAAACCCTATATATCTCAAAACCTCCTAGCAATTTGCTTTTGATTTCACAGAAAATTGCATCGCCTATTTAAACTGCTCTTCCTTCTAATTTCTCCAGCATATTCCACAGAGTACCCATTGTGTTATCAACTGGGCATATGTTCTGATTAAGTATGACAGAGCTGTATCATTCATTACATTACAAATCGCTCACTTTTCTACAAATCTGGGACAAATGTAATTTGAAATTGTTGTTATTATTATTATTATTATTGCAAATAACATACATGTTTCATTTCAACAGCTATTTGACAAATTTTCCCCCTTTCCTCATCAAGTGCATTCATTTACTGTCCAATCACACTGGTTCTAATACTGCAAAATTTATTTTTGTTACATATTAAGCTACCATAAGTATCTCTTAAAGAGAGTAGAGCACTGTCACCTTGAGAATAACTTGCTTGTAAGCTTCTGTAACAAGAACATGAGTGCAAGGGGGATGATAAAACACTAGCAAAATTCACCTCTTTGATAAATGTTGTGCGTGTACTTGAAACAGAAGTGGCCCTTCTCTACTGCTACATAATCCTGTCTTCAACAGAAGAACCAGCTGGCACAAGTAAGTTTTCTTTTCTGAAAAATATTACTTTGTGAAGCAGAGTACATATGGCCTCTTTATAACTGTGGTCTGATTCTTCCTCTGCCATATAGGTTCGTACCTTTTGTTCAGAGCTACAATCCTGAAAATTAATAAGCTAGGACTTCTTAACAGAAGTTCATATAATATAGGGTTTTACATTAAGATTTTTAATTAGTTTTCACAATTAAACAGTGAGCCTACACTCATTAAAAAAATACAGAGGTGTTCTATTAGCTGTTTGCAAAAAGACATCAATGCTGACTTTTCCAGCAGCATTCTGCAGCATTCATTTACTCACCATAGCAACAATAATAACACAAGCTAGAGGGGAGAAAGGGAAACATGGGAGAAGAGACTGTTTCAAAAGGGGAATTGGTTATTTTTCCATGCATTGGAAGTTTGGCATCCCTTGGAGACTACAAAACTGGGCAAATGCTGCTTAAGCTTTTAGAAAGCATTAACTTCACTGTTGGACCTCCCATATCCATCACTATGATTGCTTCCTCTTTAAAATGCCAGTAGAAAATGAGATGTGGATATTACACAAACTGTGGTTCACGTGACATGCTACTGTATCTAAGCATTTGTAGGGGTTTAATTTCAGGTGGCAGTTAAGTACTGCCGCTCACTGCCCCCACTCCTGCCCTCCCCAGAGTGGGAGAAAGCAAAACTTCTGGTAAGATATAATAATACTAAATATTACTTATTAATAAATAAATAATAGTAATACTAAAATAACAATGATAATATTAATAATATGGTGTGATTCATACAATACACTTTCATATATTATAGTGCAAACAAATAATAATAAATATAGTAAAATAATAATTATAATAAAAACAATTACTGTAATGAAAAGGACAGAGAGAGTGTTTCCCCACTGAAAGCATATTAGTACATTGAAAGAAAATACTATAATTTTCTAAGACTGTTTCTTAAACTGTAAGGATTATTCAACAAATAGGAACTGCTCTGGGGAAAGTTACAGAAACATGACAGAAAAGTTTTGATCTTGTGAAAAAAGGTCAGCAGTTAAATTAAGGTTTTATGTTTTTAGTGCCATGATATTTGTAAAAACCTCTTCTCAATTCATTTTTTCCAACTATTACACATCAGTATCTTAACTGCCCACTGGAAGGTGATATATCCATGTTGAATTCTTAACCCTCCAATGAGATGCAATCTTAGGGTGCTCAATGCATAAAAATCTCTTTCCTTGGAATGCTGCAGGACACACACTTCCAGAATGGAGAATTTTCCACAGGTTATTTTTGTTTCTCTGCATATGCATTAAGTTACAGCTCAAAGAACCACAGCCAGCTAAGAGAGTATTAATATTATATGTATTTTTACAGCTGTTTTTTTCCACTTGATCTTACAGGGTGTATCTGTCATCTGCAGCTGAATAGCATCAGTGACTAACACAGTCTATTTTTTATTATTAGTAATTTCTGGTTTGAGTGTTTTTCATAAAAGCCTGCACATTTTTATACTGAAAAAAGGTAATTTCCGTATTGATCCAGATATTTTAAGGCTAGATTTTGCAATAGGTCAAAATATTAGAATTTTATAAGCTTCTATACATTCTGGATTTGAAATAGTGTAGAGAACTGTGAAGCTTTATTATTCCATTATAAACAGTTAATATTGTCACCTGATTAAAAAATGTATTTTCTAGAATTGATATTCTGAATCCTTCTCTAAGAATATATCAGCCCAATATCTGACTAAGTTGTCTGGCAGTACAGCTTCACTTCAGAAGTGTTCTGAACATTTCAGCAAAGTGAATATTCACATAAGTAACATCAATGAACATAGTGTGAAGTTAAATCGTAAATAGATCAGGCAGCGTAACAATACATTCGGGCAGAAACTGTTTCTTAGAATTACTTTGGAAGAAGACACAAAACAAAAACATTTCTACATATAACCAACACCCTGGTAAAACAGGTTCTTAAATGGAGTGAATAGATAAAATTTACCCTATATGTGTCTCTGTAGTTCTGCCTTCCCCACTGAACACACATCTGGCTGCTAGGATATCATCATAGCTAATGTCTATTGGATATTTCACAGGGTAGAATGCCTGAAAAAGAGGATGATTCATGGCAATCAGTGAAAGTACTTCATATTCTCTCTGTTAATAGACACTGATGAGAAGGATGGTGCTACATATCTGAAATTACTTTTGCTTCATTATCTAATTGTGATAACACTTGGCAATATTCACTTCCAGGAGCACAACAGCACATAACCACAGGAAACACCATGACGCAAATCTGTGGACATGTGATTTCCAGTTCAGTTGCTCAGTTTGAAACAAAGACAATTAAAATTTACATTCAGAACAAAAAAGAACCCAACCAACCTGTGGCAGCTGTGGACTCTGCCTACCAATCAATGTCCATTGACCATTTCTCACTCTGTATCCACTCACTACTTTACCTATAAGATCAATATACATGAGAAGTGAGGTATGCTTAAAAAATATATTGCAACGTTTTTCTGTTAGGTATTTGATATTCCTATGTTACTCTTACCTAGTCTGTGTGTGTGAACTCTGTAGGCAAAAAGGTGCATTGGAGACCTTTTGTAATGGCAGGCAATGTCTGCATCAACCACTGTGAAAATATGACAGCAACAAACAATCACGAATAGATCATTTATCAAAGAGAGAAAAGCTGAATTGCTGTACTGCATTCAGCATGGTTTACAAAAAACATACATACAATGGACAACAGATGATTTCAAAAGATAATAGATTGCATTTTGTATTTCTGCAATGTCCATCTCAAGACATCTGCAAAGAAAAACTAGTAAAATACAGTCCAGGTTACTTGAAAATTACTTAATCTGCTGACATATATATAAAATCTTTCTGGCTGAAAGCCAGAAGAACTTCTTTCAGTGTACACTACTATTTAACAAAATAAAGTAATACATTAACTTACATACTATGTTGAGGATTGCTTAAAATAAACATAGCTATGGTAAATAATCTACTTGGGAAAATTAAAATAAACTGATGTAATTGTAAACTAATACAATTTACAATGAAGTCTTGATTATAAAGGCCCAGACCTAATTTAGATTTAGACAAGAGACTTTGTCACAGAAGTGCTCTAAAATGTTTACAGGAAAGTACTTGTGTTAGGCGCAGTAACAGTATCTAAGGAATAGCCTACAGAAAAATCCTGATGCCTTTCTGAGAGATACCACCATACTTCCCATTTTAACAAATTTCTTGCTCCACTTAAGAGCTGTAAATTGGACTGAACATGAGAAGGAAGTTATTAGCAACTACAGAACTGTTTGTCTGCCCTTTTCCCTCACCCTTCCAGCTGAAAAATTAAATTCCTACACTGATCAAATATTCTTGGAGATAGTGTAGGATTAATTTGGTGGGTTTTTCATACTGGAGAGCAAAATATTTTTAATTTCAGTTCAAATTTTAAAATGTCTCATGTTGCTGAATCCACTAAACAGCTGGAGTCAGCTGAGCATTTCACCACCTCATCATATTTAGGCAGCTAATTATGAATGGGAAAAATGGTGCTCTTGGTTATCTCCTTAAAAATTTGGTATAGCAGAGTACAGTCAGTGTCCAACTTCCTTAAAACAGTACATCCCATGCTAGCCAAAGAAAGGATATGGGGAGTTTCCCAGCTGAGGTTTAGATAAAATTCAGGATTCTGAACAGAAACCGTTCAAAAACTTTTTATTACAGGTTTTTTTGTTTGTTTTGTTTTGCTTTTTTAGCATTTTGACCTTTTAACTGACTACGACCTTTACTCCCAACATGGGAATAAAATCCTTAAACAGCAACTCCTTACTGGTAGGAATTAATTTTATAAAACTGAATTCTTAGTAGAAACACAAAAGTCATGAATGACATATGAACAGTCCAAACCAGTTTATGGCTTTTTAGAGGGGAGAGGAGGAATTAGAAAAAAGATAGGGCATTTTTTATGAAGTATAAGATGAAAATAAATTAAAGAAATATTTTATTATTTTTTGTACACATTGTGTACAAAATAAAATCATTATCTGTACACATTGTGTTCATACAGCATTGATTGCCTTTATCAATGTAGTCATAGGGAAACAGGATACAATCTTAAACATAACTTTTTTCCTCATTTGTTCAATCAGTCAAATAAATAATTTGTCCATCTACGTATCAGCAAGCCTCTGTCAAATTTTCTTCCACAATAAGCAACAATAATACATCAGATGCTGAAATCACGTCATCTCTTTGTAAAATGACACCTCACCTTTCTTGCCTGGTGGTATGACCGTATTCACAGACATCATAAGATACATTCCTGCAATCAAAGGCTGCCTGCAATGGAAAATTCAAGCTCTGGTAAACAAGTCCTCTGCAAAACATAATTGCAAGTGACTTCATATCCAATACCATTTGATACCACTCATTTCTAAACACTGGAATACATCTGAATCAGGTCTCCTAAAAACAAAGCTGTTTCACAGCAGTTTCTCTCTCCCTCTCTTTTTTGCTACAATTTCTAAAGCATTTTCTGCAGAGTATGTGAAATAGGACAAAGCTATCATCTGCATAATTGCTGTTCTCATCCCAGATTACTAAATATGAAGGTCTTTAACTGTATTGACCCAGTACTCATAGCACAGCTGTGTCAAGTTTCTTAGCAGAAATGAAATTTTTTGCCAGCAGATGACATGACTTTGTAATTCTTAATATTGTGAAGTATGTACTATTTTTATTTCAAATGCTTTCAATGGAATCCACAATTTCTATTCCAATAAAAAAATAGGTAAACATTTTAAAAAATACTCACTTTTGATGTGTCAGATGTAAAGTTACACCAGAGCAGTCCTTGTGTTTATCTGTACAAATTGTGAAAGTTTCATCATTAGCAACTGAATTCATGCAAATTACTACACATTAACAAGATTTTTCTGCTGTGTAAAAAATAACAGAAAACAGAACAAGTTTTAATCTTACTGTGTGCAGTAAAATTGTTATACTGTGGAAATACTACTGAAATTTGCACAAACCTGATCATCTCAGAACTGCATTTGTAGAAATCCTAATAGAAAGAAAAACTTCGGTGGATGAAAACTACTGTACTAGAAAATTTAGATCTTTATGAAATTTTAGATCTTTATGAGCATTTGGGAAATGAAACAGTATCATGTTTACATTAGTAGAAAAAGCAATTTTGTTTCAAACAAATTTATATTTTGATCAAAGTTAGAAAAATTAAAGGTTTTTGAAAAGCAACAATTTTAGGTATTAATAATGCAGAAATCTTTGTAATGAAAGTCAGCAGGTGAACTTGATATACCAATACAAACAGCAATTCTACTTAAAATTGGATATCCCAGAAGGTGAGTAAAAATAGCTAATTCATTTGTCAGTGTGCTTTATCATTATTAGCTGATACGTTTGACATTTAAGTTTGAAGACCCAGTCATCTTGACAGTTACTAAATTATAGTTGGCCATCTGGGAGTTCAATCTTTGATCCGTTTAAAGCAAGTTTCTTTTCTAATGTTTATACAATAATAGCTGTAGTTAGAAGATGGATCTGACTCCAAAGTAAACAGCCTACAAATTCTTAGTTACTCTAGCTCTGTGCATCCCAATAAACACTTTTGGATTTAAAAATCTGAATCACGATATCACAGTTGCACCTTTACAAATAGCAACAAAAAAATCTAAGTCTTCATTGTACAGAGAAAAGAAAAATAAGAACAGTAGCACTTTCATCAAGATTACTTACAAGAATCAAGACTAACAAATCAAGAATCCAAAAGTGCCAAAAAGACTAAGCTATTAGAAGAAAAGAAGGGGAATGGTAAGAAAACATTCAAGAGAAAGAGAAACTAAACTCCTTTTCAATGGTTTTAGAAAAAGTTCAATATATGTATATACTGTTCATCCTCTTCCCTGGAGACAGCTTCACTTACAATCCGAATACCTCAGTGTTTGCTACAAAGGTCTTTGTAAAGTCTCTTCTGCCCCACTCTCCTAATTTTAAACGGATGTTTTTCTTACTTATATAGCACAGGCGATGCTCCAGAACTCAGTTTTTATAAATTTAATGTTTTTAGAACTCTGCACTACATTAATTTCAATGTAAATTGGAAAATGTATGCTTCCTCTCAGAACATTATTACTTAAAGTAATAAAACTTAAAATTTTAAAATGCAATAGGTCATTTTGTGTCTCTCAGTTTTGGAATTTAAGTTGAAAACATCACCATTCTATCTTTTGAAAACAGCTGCAAAATTATCCCCAAGCCATCGAACAAATTTCATATTTGAAAAATTTAGCTAGGTCATAGTCATAAAAGTAGCACCATAGGAGGAGGGGGAAAAACCCTCAAATATTATTTCTGTTTGGTAATATTAAAGTATTTTGACACAATTTGAATTTTCAGAACATGGAAAAAATGCTGATTGCATTTTCATCCAAAGAAAGCAATTTCAAAATGAACTGAAGATAGTTGGAAAGCTGCTACTAATTATTACAATTGTTACTACATACGGCAATCATCTCAATCAGTATCAGAAGAAGCACAAATGAACTTCTGGCACAAGTATCGGATCTGCAGTGCTGTGTTAAGCATAAAATAATGGTTTAGTCTAAATCTTTCAGGTATTCCTACAGTGCTTTATAATTCTGTTTGTAGTTATATTGAGCCATAACTGAACTAAATGTTCTTCTAACAACTACAGAGTGATGCTGGAACTGATCTGCTTCTTCTTCCTTCTCAAAAGTTTACCTCTTTGAAACACTCAAAGCTTTGAACACTTCACCAAATAATACTGGCAAGTTGTGCTCTGCCTTTTGTGTTCTGTTCAAGTATAACACAATCATATTAAATATTCCCCGCCTTTATTTACCCATACCAAACAAAGCCAATGGTGCATGTTACACTAGCTTCATATTTGAAGGATATAATTTTTATAAAAAATTGTGCATGACAACATTACAATGATCATTCAAAGTTTAACTACCAATAAATGTTTAAATGTTTTCTAGGAGAAATATCTCAAATACTAGAAATACTCAACAGATTTTCAAATTAAATACTCACACCTGATGTGAAGGCAAATTATGCTAAAGAGAAACACTCTTGTTCTGTAAACTGATTTTGCTAAGACTTCTGAAGCAAGCCTGACAGGCTTTCTGCTAATCTGTCTATCCAGATCTACAGTCCTGAACTCTTCAATTACATGCATGATAATCTGCCACAGACATTGAGACTTCTAGGACTTCCTAAAAAAAAAATTATGGGTTTTTTACCCATAAAAACAAACACTCTTCAAAACCTAATTTCTTTGCACTCTGAGTATAGGGATTATATATTACTGAGCACTCTGCTCAAACTATTTATTCAACTTCTTCACTGCTCTGCTTCTAGTATTTCATAGGAACAGTATAGCACTCATTCATGGTGATTAGAGTACTTAAAAGCTTCCACTGCAACAAAGTGGCACATTTTATGAAGCTCCAAACCCCTTGTTATTTCAAAGTCAGCCATTGATTTGTACTGGAAACTCCACATACGGTCTCAGAATTGGCTTTGCTTCATTAAAGGTAAGAAGTAGCCTCAAAGGTGAGCACAACCCCTGAGCAAGGCAATTCCAAAGCTAATGCCCATGGGGAAGTAAATTTGTACAAGTTATATTTATTGAGCAAAGACATGCAGCACAAGAAATTAACTCGAGGTCCTAGTACAGAATGACACTACTGCATTTAATATTGGCATCAATATTGGATACATAAAACTACCTTAATTTGTTTTTTTAATGTAAGTTAAGATGCTTGTACTTGCAGATCTATTCACTCATCCAATATCAATTCAGTAAAATTTATTTTTAAAAGTCTACTATGAAATCTGGAATGAAACTTACTCAGTTTGTGAAAAACAAAATGCAAACATAGACTCCCCAGTGACATTTTCACAATTTACTTTCCAGACAGAAAGGAGGCAATTGTTGATCCTGGTTCAATATAAATTTTTTAACAGATAAAGACCTCATAAAAGTCACAGATGACTGATTTGCTGAAAGGATATAAAAGTATACCATAGCCATGCGTCTCTGTGAATATGAAAAGCTAATTTTATTCAAGACACTGGTATATTCAAGAGAATGTCAAAGAGAAGCACACCAAATCTAATGCTCAGAATAATATTCAGAGCAATGTTCAAATGACAAAATACAACTCACATTCTTATGAGGAAACACATCTTTTTAAGACATCTACTAGTTTGGCGGCCATAACTAATTACTCTCTCCAACCAAAAAAAACCAAACCCTAAGACAATACTAAGAACCCTACACCCGACTTAGAAATTATATGTTATTATAGGCAATTTGGGTAATATAATTCTTGCAGAGCGTGATAGCAGGGAGAAATAAATCTACTCTCAGTGAAAAGCTGGGAGTTAAAAGAAGAAGCTGAGAATGCAAGAATGCATTGTTCATTGTGCAAAAAAAGAGAGAACAAGAAAGAGAATGAAAAAAAGCCAGAGCTGACCAAAGATGAAAAACTTCCTCATAAATTTGGCCCGAATATATTGACAAAAAATTATAAATTGCTTCAAACAATGCAACAGATGCACACATACAAAATGACAGAATGTGAAAACCTTCCATTTCAGAATAGCTATAAGACCTTATCATTGACAACTTCTAAACACTTTGATTCTTGGGAATAACAATTATATTCTTACATGTGCTGGAAAGAACTAAGGCAATAATATGGCAGATTAGAAACAACATTAGTCTTTGTTATACAAAGGGAAGGAAAAAAACCCCAACATTCTAGGCATTAGAAAAATACAATATTTTTAAAAATTCAGATTCAAAGGTGATTACATAGAATAAAAAAATAAGGCCAGGAATACAACTGCACTGCATATCCCTACAGCCCAAGTTCAAAGCTGACTGGTCCCTTTACAGAACCAAAGATGGCCAGATTTACTTTAATTTGAATCTGAACTCGAAACACTTATGACTATACAGAAAGGCAGACAAATTTCTGACAATTTTTTACTTGTTTACTTGTAGCCACTATCAGACATAACTCCACAATAATTTTAGCTTTTACAATATTAAAAGTAAAGAAAATGAAATATAATATATATATATAATAATAAAATGCCCTAAACCTTCATAGTAGTGTTCAAAGACATTCAATGCATAATTTTCAACTAGTTTCACAATGTTTTTAAATTTCAGGAATAACCTAATGGGATTTTTCTTGTAATCAGATGTCTGTTGATAACGACAGGTAAAAGAATAGAGTCAAAGTATAAGAATACAGTCCCTGAAGATTGTATGTAAACCCATGCAGTTGTTGCAATTCACAACAGAGGATAAATGATGAAACGTGCTCAGTTAACTTGTTATGCTTTCAGTAGTACATCAAGGATTCCAAAGCATTGCTCACTATTCAGTTTACTAGCAGTTTACTATTCTGTATTACAAGTGATTACAAATATAAAATATTTAACTTTTTTACTTCCTATCAGTTTTGGAGGGAAAAAATGCTGCAGATAAAATCATCAACTCTCATGTTCAACTATTCTAAAAAGATTATTTTTAATTTCATTAACCAGGTATTAAATTAATTTTGTCCAGCAAAGGGCCACAAAGATTATGAAGGAATTGGAGCATCTCTCCCGTGAGGAAAGGCTGAGAGAGCCTGTTTCAGAGAAAGATGGACCTGAAAGGAGGGTGCAAAGAAGAGGGAGCCAGGCTCTTCACAGTGCTCAGTGACAGGACCAGAGGTGACAGGCACACTGAAAAACAGGAGGTTTCTGCTGAACATAAGGAAACTTTTTCACTGTGTGGGTGACTAAGCACTGGCAGAGTTTGCCCTGGGGTGCTTCTACCCCTGAATACACCTGGACACGGACACCTGAATACACCTGGGCCTGGACAACAGGCTATAGGTGGCCCTGCTTGAGTAGGGAGGGTGTGGGCCAGATGACTTCCAAAGGTTTGTTTCAATCTCAACCATTATGTGATTCTGTGAAACACTCAATGACAAGAATAACCACATTGCTATGCTGGAAATGAGCATTTCATTAAAAAAAAATCAAAAACCAAGCCAAACAAACAAACAAACAAACAAAAAAGACACTGTCTCCACGAGTTACATTTTTTCCAAATACAAATACTGTGACTGATTGGCTAGTGAATATTATCTGTTCACAATCTACTCAAGTCAGATGACAAGTTAAGTGTGTTCACACCTATTTGTTTCAACTTCATTACAAAAAACTCTGAATTATATATGGAAACTCCAAGTTTCTCCCTAAATGTGAAATTATTGATGTATTTCTTGATTACTTTCTTGATGACTAATTCATTTGCTCCACAATTTTTAAAGAAAAAAAAATGGTGTTCACCTTTCAAATATTTATAGAGATACATTCAGTTTATGAAGCCAAGTTAATACAGAAATTGTATTCCAAATATGCCCACTGATCTTTGCAAATGGCCTAATAGAAAAATTATTTTCTACAGGTAAATATTTTTGTGATGTAGATGATACAACTTACAGAGCAAATTTCCAAAATGCATACCTCTAAATGCACTAACATCTCCATAGTGTACCTGGAGAACAAAGTATCTGCTACCCGTTTCTCCGCCAACTCTGAATCCAACACCTAAGAGAAGGAAAATGTATTGTTTTCAGAAAAAAGAAAATGTAAGATGATTCACCATCACTGACAATATAAAAAAAATACAAATCACTTTACTGGTTAAGAGTGAAGGGCTAGAAAATTTCAGACACCACTGAAGAAAACTTTGTCCTGAAACCCAGGAAAACCACCAGCACACGATCCTAAGCAGACTAAGAAGCTAGGACCATAACTTAATTATGAATAAGTATCTGCTTTATGTAGAGAACCCTCTCAATAAAAGAACATTAATACAGATTTTTTAAAAATCCAAAATAAAAATGAAGTCTTATTATCCATGTAGGATTTGGTGGACCTTTAATTTCTCATACAACCTCTGCATGATACAAACTAATTAACACCAACTTACTAAGAAGACACTGAGAATGAGAAGAGAAAAAGTCTGCAGTAAAATATTTTTAGATTTAAATTAATATTATATGCAGAAAAAAATCTGGAGGAAATTATGCACCTATGTTACTTGATGAGAGAAGCAAGCACAGGCACAAAACACAATACAGAAGCTTAAAATAATCTGAAATAATGAAATTGCAAATTATCACCATCACCAAAAGGGATTTCTCTAAACCAATTCTACAATGAACATTTTTCAAAAGAAGCAGAAAAAACAATTTCTTAGTATTTGGTCAGAGAATCCCACAGTAAAATGCAAATCCACCTTATAAATGAGACTGCTGCCTCTCTGTGCACAAATGAGGAATCTTTATGAATACTCCCTAAAAACCTTGTATTTTTGCACAGCTTACCAACAAGAAAAGTATTAATGGCTGGGGTTTAACAGCAAAACTTCTACATAATCCTCTAAGTACAAAACATCTACAGAATCCTCCATGTTACAATTATTTTTAACTTGACATTCTGATAACCAAATCAAATAATATTCATGTTGCTAGTGTGTAAACTGCCCCTGGCTATGAAAATGGGCAGTAAAATATGAAAGAGAAAAATACTTAGAATTCAAGATATTTTTGGATCAAGGCTATACAGATGATAGATATTTCTAAGACCCTTAGTGGTTATTACAAAGAAGTACTTCACCCTGTTTTGCAGACATACCACTCCAAGTAGCTTAAAATGTTTTGATTTAATTCAGTAGGGTTGTCTATTATACAAGAAAATGGGTATACAAGCATGCTGCTCAACTGCATCAAAGCATTAAAAATAGAAAACACATTAAATTGCCAACATATACTTTAAACAGGAAAATATCAATGTTTCAACTGAATTTGTTTGTGCTTTCCCAAAGAAACAAAAATATTTTAATGTAGTTTGTGTGCTACTGAAATATACATAAATGGTAACCCTCTAGTAACATATAGTAGGAAATGCAAGATTAATGTTATATAAAATAAACAATAAATTATGATACTTATCTCTGTCTTTTTTACCCCTATAGAAACCCATAATGGTATAGCAAACAGAATTACAAAAACCCACAAGTATATTAGCTAGCATAATACATTTCGTAGTTAATTAGGTTTATACAGTTTCTACCAATTAGACATAATAAAAATATTACAGGATGTTCTCAGATATGCCAGGTTCTTACTTCCATGTCCTCCTTTTTCCCCTGCCCCTGCACACAAGAACTCCATACTAAAGGGCCAATACCTTTGGGCAGCCTGGTGGGTGGAGCATTTCTTGCCCAAGCATACAAAATGTTAGATTTATCTTTGCATGTTCCTTCATCACAGTCCCTAAAAATATGAGGAAAGAAAAGGGAATATAATTTTTAAAGTTTTGAAATCAGAAAACAGCAGGTGAGTTACATGCAAAACCACTAATTTCAAGATCTATGAAGACGGTTTTTTGAATGTATGCTGATTAAACACAGTTATTTTAATGTAGATTGCATTCACAGATATTGGTATATGTTCCACCTTTTTTTATTTCCCTCCCTTTGCATTAAGACAGTGCTAGACAGTTCTGATGGGCCCTGTCAGCCTATTAATCAGTGTTGGAAGTAATGAAGGACTATTTTATGGTAATGAACTGTACGAAAATTTCTAGCATTATTAACTCAAGTGATACAAAATGACAATGGCTGCCACATTTACACAGAAGAATAGGACTCATGCACAAAGCAGAAAAAAACTCCACAAAACATAGAATTGGTTATTTAAAATTAATTTAAAAATCACTGTCAAAAAAAAGTGACAGAAAGCTGTATATGAACCCACAGATAGAAGGCACTCACGCCCTGTACTTAATGCAAGCTCATTGCTTTAAGTTAATTCTTATTCCGCTGCATGATTTCTTCTTTTTCAAAATAGAAAAATCACACACATATGCATACACATACACAAAAAAAAATATCACAAAAAAGTCCCACACAAACAATCACCAAAAAAATGCAAAACAAAAACCCAAGGGAAAACAGAAAGAAAAAAGAAGGATTTGCCGAGTTAACAGGCCACAAACAAGTCACAAATATTTACAGCAGCAGAGAGCTTGAGTTGTCCTTAGCCTCTACAGCTAGCACCTTGCAGGTGACACTGACGGTGAAGAATAAAAACTCCCAAAGACTAGTAAATTCTAGATACCTTAAATCTGCAAGAAATGGTAAACATGAGGCAGAGACACCAAATCTCAATAGCCAGACACAGTTGTACAGACAGCACAATGTGTCTGGACACATCCAAGAAGGCACTAACTGCTACATGTGGGTGTAGGCTGCATGATGATGCACACAGATAATCAAACAAGCGACCCTAAGGAGCTTTCCAAACACCCACCTAGAATACACTTCTCCCTCTTTATTCTGAATTAGAGAAAAGGTTTATTTACAGGGTGTATTTGTACCTTCTTCCAATGGCAAAGCATCCATGGCCCTGAGTACAGAGTGTAGAAGGTGTACAGTACACCATAGAAAGTTTCACCCTTATTCAGACTACATCAACAGATTTAAGCCAGTTGTGATAAAGGCTGACGTCTATGCCAGTGTTTCATTCTAAACCAAAATGGCACAGGCTCTGCTCTGTTTATCCCTGCCTGTAAAATGATACTTGGGAAAACATTTGTATATGTAAGGCATGGTTTCAGTCACCTGAAATTGTGGGGAAAAAAGAGTGTCACACTGTGTGAGGAAGAGTATAAAAAAGTATAAACACAAAAAAGACCAGGACATCTAGCAGATGCGCCTCAGTCGTGTTTCTGCTGAGAATGGCTAAGCCATATGTGCAGATGATGATGATGCTTTCCAGGTATCTCTCAGAGATAACCAGCTCTTCTGGCATGTATATCAAACCACATCAGTAGGATATCATGCATTTCTTTCATCCCAGTGAGCTTTATTGCAATCTGACTACTGTATTTAATTCTGACTGAAAGCTCTGCCACAATCATAAGAGTACGATGAGAAAGGGGAACACACCACTTCTTTTTTAGTAGCTATACGCACAACATGTATTTCTAGACCTTCATAACTAACAGCTTGTTCACCTTCCCCTTCAAACATGACCATGTCCCAAAGGACAATCAAAACTTACTTCAAGATAAGTGAAATGTTTTGATGGATTTATCTGCAACTGAAAATTATGGAGCTTTCCACTGTGCCTATACAAAAAACACAAAAGACTTAATGGATCTAACCTAGTATTGAGCTGCACAATTTGGGAATGTGTTGAAGAGATTGTTTAGGAGGAATGCCAGAAAGCCATGACAAGCACAGTCACAGCTTTACCACAACACTTTGGGCTCAACTGTCTTTAATTTATACCACAGTATTTTTAAGAACACATTAATTAGGAAAAAGCCTTGTGCAGGCTGCTTCAAACTTTCTTCCAAGAGGCTATCAGAATGGAGGGGGAAGACTGCAAGGGAAAACAAATTACAGACACTGGTCTTTCATTTCATTTAAAAAACGGTCTCATCTCATTCGCCATCAATGATACTCTTGAAACATTAAGTTTTCAGAAAAAACAAACCTAGAGGAGATTGCAAAGAAGAGGTAATAAGATAAAGAGATTGAAAAGCAGGGAGCTAGTAAAAAGTATAAATTTAACTAACAAAAAATCACTGAAATCCATTGCTGCTTTACATACAAGAAATGAGATTCAAAACCGAATGAGACACAGAATACCTTAAAAATGGACTACAGCTGCATATTATACACTATTGTTCTAAAAACTGATTTTGACTCAAAATTTGGAATTGAGTGGGGTATGAGTTAACTTACTGACTGCTTCTTGGATCTTTGTGTTTTTTGTAAACTCTTCTGGTCTTCCCAAAGGCATTCTCCCCTGTCTTGGGTAAGCTAAAGAGCTGTTTTTATTAATGGCACTGGAGTTTTGACTGATTACCTAGACTGAAAGTAAAATATTTCATTATGTCAGCAAGACCAGTATTTGGCTATCCCTTTGGCACATTTGCATTGGTTATGGTAACAAATAACTTCTTTTATTTCTTTCTCTATTACACTGCACTCCTGAATACTAATCAATACTTTAAAAAATGGTAATTGAGGTGACTAAGTAAGAGAAATTGTAATTTTTAGCTCTTGAATATTGCAGAACATTCTGGGACAGTGGCAATAATAAGAAACTACACCTAAAAATACAATTCTTTCTACTGTCCCCACTGTCCCTCATGCAATGAAATAAAAGTCTGTCACTGAACTAGTCATGACATCTTTTGCAACCTTTACTGAACTATTGACGTCAAAGGCATCCAAACCCATTCTTTCCTGCCAACAGAAACAACCATCTGATAAAGGAATCAGGTGGTCATCTATGACCTGCACTTACACATTTGTTTGCATAAGATAACTATTTAAAGTTGCCCTGCCTGATCTCAAAATAATGGCTTTATCTCTGAATCAGTTCATTCACAAGAGATTATTTCAGTGTTAGGTTTGGTGCAGCACAAGCCAGGAGACTCACAAGTTCTGAATAGTTCAACATTTCCTTTTAAAGCATTCAAGTGCATTCCTGATTATCTACAGATAATCTGAACTTTTATCAATCATTTCAGGCATGTTACATCTATTTCAACACAGTTTGTCAGCTCAGGTAAAGCTTGTCATTGTGGCTGAACTGTTCTTAGATTAATTATGATCAATGAATAGAAGCAGTTATGCCATTTTTTCAATGCACTGAGCAACAACTGAAGCAATAAGGCCTGGGAAATGATTTTTTTTTTCCTGTGGAAAGGCCTGTGTATTTCAAAAAGGAAGAACAACCTTTAGCATTTGTTCAGATAAAGATTCTACCACACTGCAGTGAATGTTGAAACCAGAGCAGGCTCCATACAACTTGAAAGCCTTTCTGAAGGCCAGGGACATTTGCAAGAATAGTGTCAAATCACCAAAAAAAGGCAGCAAGCCAGATGGGCATCAAAGATTTTGGCTTAGCATGGCTATGGCCAAAGGGCAGCTAATCCCAACAGTCATCTGGATGCTTCTCATTCCTCCCCGCTCAAAACTGGCCTGAATGAAACTTCACATCTCAGGAAAACTAATTTTGACCTCCCATTCTGAATGTTCCTAACAGCCTGATTTTCCATAATACAACTAATCCACATCACTATGGTAAAGAAAAACTTGACTTGAAAAACCATATGTAACTAATACTGTCAGAACTTCGGAAAAGAAACTAGAAGAAAAAAATCTATGTGGCATGCCTAATTGAATCAAAGCTGGCTCTGTAAAAATGCTGAGCATGTAAAAAGTAAGGAGAGGATCCCTGCTAAACAAGTCTTGCAGCGCTCCGCTTGAACAACTGTTCCTTCCCTACTAGATGAAAGAACAAGAGAAGTCATCATTTGCCAGCCTTCAGGTAACTAAAGGAACCAATATAACCAAACAAAATAAACAACAATGGAGACCAGTAACACACCATCACTGGAATTATTTTAACAAAATTAGGTTAGAAGTTTCTAGCACTCTTTACTCTATTCTATGTATTGTATGTAATGTAGAAAACACATTATCATCTTTCTAGCCTTGCAAATAACCGTGGGTAGAGCAAGATAAAAAGCTGCAAACTGCTGCAAAAACAGGGATGTGAAATGATGGGAGAGTGAATGAAGAGCTTTCATGCTGAAAATGCAAAGCAAACAGAAAATCTCAGAAAATACACATAAAAAATAAAAAGATCTAATCAAACCTGCATATGAAAAATTGAAAATAGCAGATTTAAACACAACATTAATGTATTTGGTCTGGTTAAGATGGAGTTAATTTTCCCCACAACAACCCTCACAGTGCTGGGATTTGAATGAGTAGCTGGAAAGGTGTTGATAACACATCAGTGTTTGTGAAATATCTTAGCAGAGGTCACAGGCAGGCCAGCTGACCCAAACTAACTGAAGAAATGTTCCATACCATATAATATCCACTCAACAATCAGAGGTAATAGAAAGGAAGAGAAGGAGGGTGGGGACACACACACACACACACACGTTGGTTATTTATGACATTTGTCTTTCAGAGCAACCATTACTTGTGCTTGGAAGTGGCTTGGTGATGAAAAGAAGAGAATAAAATATTTTGTTTTCCTCCACTTCTGCACAACACTTGCTTTTGCTTTATTAAACTGCCTTTGTTTTAACTCATGAGATTTTTTTCCATCCTGAGAAGTGGAGGGATAGAGCAGCTTGGTGGGAACCTGATGTCCAACAAAGCTCAATCCATCATAACTAAATAATTATCTTGTCATTTGACAGGTAGGGTAATCAAGAACAAAAGCAACATTAGCTGCCACACTGCAAAGGCTGTCATTGGTGAGTCTTCTGCTGAGAGAGTGAAAGTACAACCAGGGAGCACAAACTACCTGAACTCTAGACTCAAAACAGGTATTTCAGACTGATTCAGTTTTGAAAAACTTTTGTTTTTGGCTTTGCATCCATCTCTTCTACAACCTCAGAACATCAGTTAGTTGTGAATTAGGCATTGTCTCATAACTTCATTTTAACACAAGCTCCCAATCAATCTGTAACAACATAATTCTATCATGTACAAATTATTCCAAGGCTCTATTAAAACTGCTTCCAGAAATATAAAAACAGCACAGGCTCCAAGTACAATCTACACAGTTTGAAATAGGATACTCATCTGCTTTTAAAAAGTCAGAATGAAAAAGTTTTATGCTGGCATATTATTCATATTAAAGTATTCAAGTATATTCTATTACTTGAGATACAATAAAAAACAACACAGAAAAGCTGTCTGCAGGTAAAAGAAATTCATAGAAATTCTATGCTTTCAGTTTTACTTTGGTCTGAACTTCTTAAGCATCTGGTTTTCTTGCTCAACTGTGCAAGATTACATTTTCAATATTAGAACTATTGGTTGCTAGGTAAACAGGAGATAGGACTTTTGAGGAAAACGTGTTGTGTATGTTTAAAATACTAATAAAATCATCTCCTCAAAACAGGCTTTCAGAATGTTTCGGGGTATTTTTCCTGAAATTGTATTATAATATAATGTTAGTTCTAAATTTCAGGTCTAGTTACCTTTTTGGTAAATACTTAAAAGATAAATTATGATTACACAACTCTATCAAAACACCTATATTAAAATTGTTCCAAGAGATTCTGTTTCCAAGAGATTCTGACACTGGAAGAGGTTGAAGCAATTAACACTGAAAAAGAGTTGGTTAAAAACTAAAGCAAGATGAAGCTCTTACCAGTAATTTTCAGTAGAGGAAGGTTCATTACATCCAAAGAGTAACATGTGATGGACTGTGTCCATGCTGGCATGAGGCTTAAAGTCAACTGAAAAAAAACCATGGTAAAACAAGTAAGCTATCTAATCTCACCATAAGTTACATAACCAAGATAATCTTGTGCCATTTTCCCCTGTAATACTACAAATAAGGCAAGTACATCCCCACCTATTTATTTGCCTTCTGCATTCTACTTACACATGTTCCTTAAATTTTCATTCAACAGCCTTCCTTCTAAGCTAAAACACTGTATGTACCTAACTTATTTATTAAGAAAAAGAAACTAAGTTCCTAATGAAGACCGCTGCATTTCCCACAGAAGTTAAATATGATAGTAAGTTAATATATCAGTGCATCCCAAACCACGAAGTTTTACTGTCAGCAGTCTAATTACAATCTTCCTTTGAAATCTGCACTTGTGACTTAATAATACTCTTCTAATTCTTTTGTACTTCATAAAAAAATACAAACAAGCAGTAAGTTACAGTTAAGAGCAATTAAATCTTATGTATTAGTAATATCTTCTTCCAGTATTCTACCTGGATTACATTTTTCCTGCATCATTCTTAGGACAACAGGAATTGAGTCTCATATGTCAAATCCTTGGGAATGAAAACCAAGATTTGTTTAAAGTCAGCACGATCTGCCCAAATATTTCTCACTATTAGAAACTTAGATGTGGAAGTTCACCTCTCGCTCATCTCTCAAATGTCTGTTCTTTAAACTATGCCACAGATAAAACACTGCTTTGGTTTCTCAAGTACTTGTGATCCTGTTTAGCAAAGTAAAAATTTTACCAACATCATGGGAGTAATACTGACCATGAATGTATAATGATGGCATTTCTAAAAGCATTCTACATTCTTTTATTACTATAGAAAAAATATGCCGTTGCAGGGAATGCAATGGTTTTTAACCTTGGACTACAGCAGAAATTCTGAAGACAAGTTACTCCTACCCCTGTATGTACACAGACAGTGAGAAACCTCCAAGTAACTGTCTTTTAGCTATTAACAGGGAAGATGGTGAAGCTGCAAACCAGTGAAACTATATTCTGCTCCTGAGGTTAATGGCACTACGTGCACTCAGAAATCAGTATTTTAACAAAGAGCTGTAGCAAAGTTTCTGAAATAAATGATGATGTGGATTATCATCCCAGTTTCACAGGGGACAAAATATCAAACAGCTTCTAACCCAATTTCTGGAGCTGAGCTCTGTCCTGGAAAGTAAGGAAAACCAGCCAACAGTTAAAGCATGTAAATCAAGTTTTAGCTTGAAGATACACGGTCAGACTGCAAGGAAATGAGCATGCCACAGTTGAGGGTTTGGGAAATAAGAGATGTACCCATATGCCCTGAGAGGGTACTTTGAATGACATATATTAATTAAGAACTACTAAAGTTGCCAGTATGAAGAAAGTCTAGAGACAACCCAACATCTTTATTTTTCTACAAGCAAATTCTAGTTGTTTCATAGATAAAAAACTAACCTGTGTTATGGAGACAATTCTTGTTTTGATGTTTTTGTCAGTAATGATTAGTAGTGAAATTACGGTTTATGCTTGCATGGCAGAGGCAACGTGTTATTCTGTGGAATTCCTACTTTACTTTTCAGATATTTTTGGTGTTTTAAGCTGCTGTTATCAATCGAAAGATTAAATTTCTGAAGGGGTTTATAAGCAGTTCACACATGTGAAATTTCATTAACTTTATTGTCAAAATTAATATCTGTAAAAAGTGTGCTGTAAGTACCACTTACAAAGACAGCCTTCAATAAAGGTAAAATTGAAGGTTAGGCCTACTAGCTGCTAAAGCCACCACCTGTCCTGCTGCTTCATACTGTCTCTGTTTCTTTTTATTTTTCTACCACTCTCCTATTGCAAGTATTTATTCTAATGAGTGTTTCAGGAAGTCTTTTATTTGCTCCACATAGTACCTACTACAATGATGTCCTAGAGCACAGACAGTACTTCAAGCACTTTTAGAAAACTTATTACAAATACCTGACTAAATGCTATTCTTACCAAGAGAAAACAATGCACCAGAGCTAACAAAACAAAATCAGATTTCTGGCATAAACTACTTTAGATGATATACCTAATCATTGCTTAAGAAAGTATTGAAAAACCTCACAGTCACTTTATAAGCTTAAGACAACTTTGTATAGGTGGTTACTGTACAGCTATTTTCTTAGCAGCACATCCAGGAATATAACTTTCCAAAGAGAAGGTTAAAAGGAGCAAACAAAAAAATCCAACTAAAAAATCCTGTGTTGCAAAAGCCATACAGATTAATGTGAGATTCAAGCCAAATGCAGTACCTGTGACAGAATGAGAGAGTGGCTAGGGTTTGAAGGGACCTTAAAGATCATCTTGTTTCAACCATGACAGGCGCACCTCGCACTATGCCAGGTTTCTCAGACCTCCATCCAACGTGGCCTTGAAAACTTCCAGGGACAGGGCAACCACAGCTTCTCTGAGCAACTTGTGCCTGGGCCTCACCACCCTCACAGTAAAGAATTTTTTCTTAACAGCTAATTGGAACCTACTGTCTTTCCTTTCCCCCTTGTCTTATCACTCATGCTCTTTTAAAAAGTCTCTCCCCATCTTTCTTGTGGGCTGAAGGCCACAATTAGATCACCTAGAAGTCTTCTGTTCTCCTGAACAGAATTCTCAATTGTCTCAGCCTTTCCCCATGGCAGAGGTGCTCCATATTTCTGATCATCTTTGTGTCCCTGCTCTGGACTTGCTGCAACATTCCAGAACTCCCTGTGCTGGGAACTGTCACTACCAAAGGCTTAAGAAATATCAAACAGCAGTCCTATTTTCCTAGTTGACAGCCTCCACATTTTACAGTAATGAACAGAATATTACTCAATAATAATTTTTTTTTTAATGCATGGAGAAGTGATACAAATGATTACTAAAATAACAGCAGCAGATTTCATATACATAATAAATTGAAGTCTGACCTAATTTCTTGATCAAGAACTACTTAGAACTACAAACTCAAACAGAAACAGGAATGAACAGAACATGACATCAGTTTAATCTTAGTGTGTACTTAATCTATGTATTGAAAACACTAACTTCTAATAAGTTAATCTTTACAAACAACAATTCCATTAAATAAAGTTGATAGATTGTTTTTAATATTAATGTCTTCTCTATCAAAGAATTAACTTTAAAGAAATTTATCAAGAATTCAGTGCCTGAAGTTTGGCAAAATAGGGAGACATCAGAGACCTCCAATACAGTGACAATATCATTGCTTGGCAACAGAAAGGTTTATACATCCCATAACAGAGTAACAAACTTAGAGCTTCTCAGAGTCCTTTATGGATGAAAAGTAATAAACCATCTAATTACTTCAATGTGTGTGGCTGAATGTAGAAGGCTCTATTTCATTTCTACAGCACAATCTGACAGGGGACTATTACGAGCCACTAAGAAAAAGACATTTATTTCCTGGTCACCCATGTATAATATAAGCAGGTGAAGGTGACAGTCAAGTCTTTTAGCTGAGAGGCCTGCTGTCAGACTAAATTTTTGTGAGTCTCTGTAGAGCACCATTTAGCTCTCTCTACAGTTTAGTTATGAAAAACTGATTTTTACCAATGCCTGCACGATTAAAGATTCACTTGAGTTTCTGGTTTAGCTATTTATTCATAAACATTAATCAAACAGAATGCAGAAGAAAACCACAATGATATGTTTTAAAAATAAAACTGGAGTAATACTTTCTTGGAAAATCACATATTAATCTCACTCACTAATAACAACATATTAATCTCACAGCCATTTCACTTCCCAGGAGCAAAGGGTATGATCCTAACATAAACCTAAATGTACACCAACCCATTCACAGAAAAAAACCTCCTTAATCAAATTTGTCAGTATTTACAGCCATTTGGGACAGAGAAACAATTGGTTCAAACAGATACCTCTGCCTTGATAATCTGATGCTCCACTAAAGAACCTAATACAGAAAACAGCATAAGCAAAATTATACAGATTCATGCCTGAAAAAGATCCATAGGGCAAAACCTCCTCTAATTCTCCAGCTGGCAATATTTCATTAAGTAAGTGTGATCAATTCCTTCCTCTGATAGCGTCTGAGAACTCACTCTGAACAAGTTTGTGAATTCTGGTACAGCGTCCCTCCAGTTTTTTAGTACAAACTTATACCCACTGTCCCTGTGCAAACATGAATGTTCACTGGTTTCCTTTAGGGAAATAGCAAAGTTGAAGTCTGAATTCAAAGTCCTTATATAAAAATTTAATAAAAATACTGAAAAAAAAGTTACAAAATTTTTTTCTACTTAATAACAAATGTAATACTGCCCACATACAACACTAAAAAAGAAACTCTCTCTGCCAAGGCTCTTACATTTCACCAAAATGCAACAAAAATATCTTGCTGAAGGCTCCATTATAGAACCTTTTCTTCCAAAATGTCTTGGACAAAGGAAGAAACAAGAGTAAAAATAAGAAGGCATAGCTAAAAAAAGGAATGAATTAACAAGTCTTGATGAAACCATAAAGACAATTGGTCATTAAAGTCCCTCTTTAAATGCTAAAAGGAATCAAAGCACAAGGTATTTACTTAGCAAATAAACTGAACTGAAGGCAGAACATGCAGCTTTACCATCAAAATGTCTCAGGAATCCAGTTTGTTGTTTCAGCTACGTGTACTCACACATCCTCATGTTGAAACTCTACAGAACACACAGTCTTCTCAACATCACTAAACAGCAACCCAGTGACAGTTCATATGCTAGTTTTCCATTGTTTTTGTCACAAAGCAAAACAGTATGTTTTAAGGAAAGTTAATTACACCATTTGTTGGCAATGCAATGAAGGCAGATCCAACTTAAGCCTTAAAAATAAAGACTGTATCCTTTCAAAAAGATTGAACATTCTCTGTGTGCCAATCTTCTTATTTAAGCAACACAAAATACACGTATGCAAGTTAATAGTTTTCTACATAGATATTTTATAACGTAGGTCATTCTACATTCTTTCTACTCTCTACAGCTTGATATGATTGAGTTTATTCTTTCTAATTATCAGGTAACTTCCGTGGATTATGAAGACTCCAATCTGAGCCTTTTCCATGAGGAACCCTTTTCAGTGAAGCAAAACGGAACGATCACACGCTTCACACTGACCATATGCCTATTCATTTCCACCATATGTGGAAGTGACAAAAGAGGGAAAACCCAAAAATTTTCTTCTAATTTTAATTTAAAGCATACAAAAAAATCTCATATATATATATATATATTCCAATATATATTTCTCTGTAAGAAATGCTATAATGGGAACACTTTATGTTCACACAACAAGCTGGGCTTTTTTACAGATTGCTCATCAAGTTCCTCTTGCTCTTCAAAGTGCTACAAGACAACTAGAATGGTTTCTCTGTCCAGAGACCTTATTCTGCTTTGTAATAAAGAGTACTCAGGAACAGTGACCACTGGAAAAATGACCAAATTCTGTAAAAATCAGATGAAGAATAGATAAAATTTTAGATTTGCAGAAAAAATTAAAATAGGTTGCATTGCAGGATTTGCACTGACACTTTGCACAAATTCTTTCAATAGGTCCTTTTAAGAATGCACACCAACAAAAGAAGTTTACGTTCTGTTAACACAAGCAACAGAACTAGATGTGCAGCAACCTAACAATAAACCATGGAATTTTTCAACTCAGTGGCACCCTATTAAAAGCTGCTTAAGGAGGAAGTTAGTAGTATTGCCTTTCTATGAATCAACAAAAGCAGAAGAGTCTATTATGGTTGATCCAACGGGGACTCCCAGGACGAGTGAAGAGATGCGAATCTTGACTCCATGTTTCAGAAGGTTGATTTATTATATTATGATATATATTATATTAAAATGATACATTAAAACTATACTAAAAAGAATAGAGAGAAAAGGATTCATCAGAAGGCTAGAAAGAACAGGGATGGAATGAGTAACAAAGGCTCGTGACTATCAGCAAGTCAGCCAGCTGCATCTGTGATTGCCTCTTAATTAGAAACAACCAAACTGTACCAATCACAGATGCACCTGTTGCATTCCACAGCAGCAGATAGTTATTGTTTACATTTCTTTTCTGAGGCTTCTCAGCTAGAATAGGAGAAAAATCCTAGCAAGGGCTATTTCATAAAATATCATGGCTACAGTCTACTGTGCAACACAGCACAGCAAGCATAATTTATTTGAAAGTGAACACTCACTCCCTTCCATCTATGCTCATTTTTCTTTCTTGGGCCATACTCACAACCAAAATGTGAGGTTAGATTCTCACCTTTTTAGAAAACAGATATAAAGTGAAAGCACTGAAAAAAATTTAATCATTTTTCTTAGTTACTGTAATAAAACATGAAAATCAAAACACAATGTTCTAGCTTCTGAGGGATTTCCACAAGAAAATCCACATGGAACAACAATCTCATAATACTCTACATCAAAAACTACATGGGATTCCCATCATACTTTTATTAAGCACAGGTATCCTAAAATGCAACAAAAGTGTAAAGAAAGAAAAATATTGTTTCCTTTTGAACAGTCAAAGCAAAACTATCTTCAGCCAAACCAATAAGTCTTCTTTCTATCTGTATGTTCATGGCAAGGCACAATAAAATTTTAACTACTGCAAAGATGTTCTGAACAGATGGAGTTTTTCTGCTGATTTATATGATGATAGCATTTGTAACACATTAGAGTATTTCCTTCTACTGGTCAGCCATCTTATTAATGCCATGTCATTAAAAAAAATAAATAAAAGAGGGAAAGGGTTTGGTTTCTCCTCCAAGTAAAATCATTACACAGCCAACACTGACTGTAAGTACATAGGATTTACAACCTATACCAGGAGGTAAATAAACAGTCTGCTCAGTAGTGCAAAATTAAGTATCTGGCCAGAGACAGAAACCCAATACTTTGCAAATGGACTGTTTAGTCCTGACTGCCAGAAGCATCTGCATGCAGCTCCTGAACTGCTGTTACTCATTAATCTCCTCAGACACAGTTTTATTTTGACTCTAAGTAGCTCCCTCTAGTTTGTTTCCACATTAGACATGACAAATGCATTTTTGAAACTCTGACATCTAAAGATTAAGTTAATATGAGTCAAAGAAAAAAAGGAAATGTTGAGGTTCTTCAAAATGGCTTAAGTTCTTTCAGTTAACCAGTACTCACCTACATAGGCTTCATCATCCACTGGCAGGGGTACTGACATGCAGAGGTAGGTATCAGACTATTAAAAGAGAAGAGAAATTACCTTTAAATTGGGAAAATTTAGACTTTAAAGAATAGAAACAAAGTATCAAAATTCCCTACACTTTCTGAAAATGAATGTGGGAATACTGAACAAATAAATATATACAATAGAACCATCTAGAAAAAATATCACGTACTTTATTGAGATACTCAGGCAAATACAATGTATGTTATCTGGTTTACTATTGTAAGAAATAAATTCATTGCCACAATTTATTTACATGTAACAGAGGTCAGTCTATAAGGTTATCAAAGCGGCTATTAGGTTGGTAGGTACACTGTTAACTATTTTAAACCTCTTTTTTCTTAATTGTTTTTTTTGAACTTCTAAGGCTCTTTAGGAAAGGAAATATATTACCTACTAGAATTTCACTACACCTATGAAATGAAAATCTGACAGGCCTTCACTTTCTTATAAGGATATCTAAACAGATAAAGATAAAATTCTTGCTACGAATAACTTCAAACTTAGTTTAAAAGAAGACTCTGTGGATAGGTGTAAACAATTAAATGCAACAGAGAAGGAAGGTACAATGGTGATAACAATATGTGATTACACAGAGCAGTGATTTGCACCTTAAGAAACCATTTTTGGTATTTTTGCTAGAAAATGGGAAGGATGAATGGAGGTTAACTGGTATGATTTATGTGTACTGTGATTACGTACATTTACACAGTTAAAATACTAAAGCCTTCTAGAAATAGAAAAGGAAATATTCTATGTTTTTTATTTAACCTGGGTTCAGAGGATTTTTTTTTTTTAAAAGCACAACCTATTTAGGACCTTATATTTAAACTTTGAAAGCCAATGGCAGCAATGCTTCATAGTGCAGTAGAAATTAAGCAGTTTCCAATTAATGTTCATGTGCAGTACCTGTGCCAAAAGAATGCACAACTCAGGTACATGTAGAACACTCCTAAGTCATGTAAGGGCTTGGACATTCATGCACCCACAGAACAACAGCAATTATGAACTGTAAGACAAATCCTGGCTCTCCCACCCCTTCAACATACCCAGTAACTCATTTAAAAAATGCAGGGTTTTTGACAACGTTTCCCCCAGCCTTGAAATTACAACACACAAAGAGAAGGGGTTTTTTAATAGGAATCTGAACTGACTGGTTTCTTTGTATGGGTTTCCTAGCCATTCAACTGATGGCTTCTTAGGTAAAATCAATAATTCATAATTATAAATGTGCACCTAGATGAACTGAGAGTACTTTTCACTCTTTCTGATGGAGAAGTTTAATATTTTGCTAGAAAGAAGATCTAGCAGAAACCATATTTCTGCTTTGCACTTGCCAAAATAACACTTCTTGCTTTAATTACATGTTCCAGAGGGGATTTCCCCAAAAACATGAAAACCTCATTTTCTCTTCACTCCTTTAAAAACTACTATCTGCAACAATGAGTCATCAGCTACTGCACCACAACATACTGCTCTTTTCAAGTATGTGCAGCCCTTTAAAAGAGATGTAGACCTCTTAATGATATATATATATAATTCTCTGCAATGGCTTACTGCAAAAAGAAAAAAAAATCATTCTTCATCTTGCTTAATGAAATCAGATGTGAACATGACAGTAGAATCTCAATATTTTATGTGCATCTGAATGTTAAGTTTAATAATCTTAACTGTTTTCACTTTTACTCACTTGGTTCAGCAGAATATAACACAGTTCATACCTTAAAGAATATAAAATCATAACTTGTCTGTAATAGCTTTCATGGAGTATTTTGAGAGTTAAAAATACTGGGTCAGAAGTACTATCCCTTTAAAAATGCTTTTTGGTTGTTTTCTCTCAGCTTGCTGAAGCTGCAGCAATATAGAGTTTAATGTAATTACATTCACTGATGTATCATCTGAGATTTGGTGTAAACTGCAACTGCATGTCTTACTAGCACAGCTAGTAATTTTCACATTATAAAACTTCAACAATTCAGTTTATGAAACCAACATTTTACAATTAAAATTAATTCAATGAAGAGATTTTTCTCTCATTTGAGGCTACTTTTTTGTTGCCTATTTTTCTCTGAGAAGTACATATAGATATGTATTTATAAAAGTTATCCCAATTTTTTTGTTTATTTTTTTTGAGTGATATCGTAGGGAAGGCTTTGTTTTCCTAGCTTATTGAAAGAAGAGAAAGAGGCAAAAACTGCAATTCCCTCACCTGTTTAGGTGTCACTGCAGGCATGCGAATGTCCAGTGCAAAATCTGACAGACCAAAGGAAATCACTGGCTGGACATTTCCAAGGCATTCACTGGAAAGAGATGTGCTAGTATCTTTATATCTGAAAAAGAAGGAAGAAAGATTTTTTTTTTTTTTTCAAATATTGATTTTTGTTACAACTTTCTTAAAAAAAGGGTCTTTACAGATCTAGTAAAGAAGTTAGACAATGATGAGTTGTTCCAGGAGTGATCTGAAAATTTCACTCCACCACAAGCTGAGGAAAACATCTTAGTTATGTATCTTAGTTATAACTACTTGCTGAAGTAGTTAATGAGCTGAGCAATTTGGAAAATGTTAGCTGAAAACGTAACCTATTATCTCATCCTAAAATTGTCGGAGGCACATGGATGTACAGACAGAGAATTAGTTCACTACACTATGTCGAGTACTATTAATAATTCACAACAGTTTTGGGGGGTTTTTTTGAGACTATGATTTATAATTCTATACAGATTAAATTTAAATTAAATGCAAGGGACACCTTTTAATTCAAACATTATGGCATTTATAGCAACTTTTGTGCTACTACAAGTAGCAAAGTAAAACTAAACTTGGCAACATCAAACAAATATGAAATTCTGTATAGAGTGCAATGTAAAAATGAATTGTAAGAAAAATGGAGATCACTATAAGAAATGGAAAATTAAGACATGAGAAACATTGATGCAACATTGATATGAGTTTTGGCTATGTATATACATAGATACAGAAATGGTATGGTACCCAACCTCAATAACACTAAAATCCTTTTTTCAGGAGCTAAGAAGCTACTTCTGTTGTCCGCACTATATTAAAGTTTACATATGCAATTTTGAATTCAAGCAATCCCTAAATTTCTCAGGACTGTTCAGTTTAGTTGATGTTTTCTTGTTAAAACATGATCTTATCCTGCAAGCTAACTCCAGCATCTGAAATATATTTACTCCCTGTGTAGCATCTGAAATATATTTACTCCCTGTGTAGCCTCAAATACAGCTGTAGTGTTAACTAAAAAAGTTGTATCAATTGCCATTTTATTCTTCTATCTAATGAGCAACACTATGGATAAAACACGAATTTCTGTTTTCAGTATGACAACACTGCCATTTCAAATTGCAGAAATAAAATTCTGTGCAGTGATCAAAACTGAACAAATACTGCAACACATTTTTATCTAAGACATGTTTTTTCATACTTTTGTAATATTTTGACTGCATGCATTCAACACATAATATTTTCTTGCAAAACCCACCTCTTGAAGACTGAAAGTGGGCTTCTGAAACCCAAAGAGATGTTTTGAAACAGAAGAAGCAGTATTAGCAGGTTGCTAACGAAGCCAGCCATGTTCACCCTGCTATTTCTGGCCTGATTAAGCAAGCAGAAAAAGAGCAGTGCAGTTCTATCAGCTGTGATCTCGACAACCAGGTAGCAGCAGCAGCAGTATCATTTCACTACTTCATTATTATGTGCTCTGCAGGCATCCTCCAGCTTCTGACAGACCATCTGTCTTGGAAGGCAATGCACTGTAAATCAGGAAGGTGGATGCTATTATGTTGTCTGTTTTATTAGCTATAAAATGGTGTTGAAGAATCTTCCCTTGCTGAGAGATGACACTGTACTTCCGTCCACTTAAGGAGCTCAAAAGGACTAGTACTCCTGTTGCTTTCTGCCCAGGTTGTGCAGTTAAATCTGCATGTTACTTATCAATCCACAGCACTGGTGACTTCAAGTGGCATCACAGAAACCAGCATCAGTCATCCTTCATAACCTGTTAAAATAGAAGGAGCTTAAGGATGACTAACATATTAGAGCATTAGTTCTCAGCAAATCACTGTTGAGGCATTTTAATACATTAATAGGTTTTCTCATGAGCTTTAGCCTAACCCAGTAAAGATTGCATTGGTTCTATTGAGTCCTTCTTTTCCTACCCTTTCCAGCATACAAGATCAGAAAGAGACACACTTCATTTTGATATACAAAATGTGCTCTCAAACATATTTTACATGATGGGAAGAAATATAAAAAAACTCCTCAATATATAAAATGCAAAGTGTGGAGTATTTCACATATACAAACACTTGTATAATGTGTTCTACAAGCAGGGGAAAAAAAAGCACCAACTTGACATAGCAAGAATCAAGGTTTTATTAACTATCACCAAATGTTTCTGCACATATTGCAGACTGGGAGAATATTTTAGTTTTAATTCAACCTGTAAGAAACCATTATGTCATTAATAAGTATCTGTTTCTTATGTACTTTAGCTGCTTTTATACCCATTTCAGGAAAAAGATACTTAAAAATTATGTTTGGAAATACAGTAACCAGAACTGTTGACATCAGACTGCTTTATATTAGTTGAGTAGTTTTCTACCCTTTCATTCACTGAGGGTATGTCAGCATAAATCATTAGTCTCCCCCCTGTTTAATTTCAACTGTTCGTACTTCCCCATTTTAATATATACGGTATTTAATTTCAAAATTTTAGTACTCTTTAATAATTATGCTAGAAAATTATACCATGTCTTACTGAAGACATTTATATTAGTATTCTTCTACTTTTTGAGAATTCCAGTTTTGGCAAAGTTTCCAGTCATAATCATACATAAGTGTACTATATAATAATTCTTCTAAATTAGTATAAATAGAATATACTAAATAGTGTATTCTAGATTTGTATAAATACTAATAAGAAAAAAAACCCCACCCAAATTAAAATATCTTCCAGCCCCTAGAAGACATAGTCAAAATACTTTCATAAGGATGAAACAGAAAATAAGGATTCTGACATTAAACCAATGAAAATCCATGTATTTAAAAAAAAAAAAAAAAATCACTCCCATTTCAGGGCACATGTATGTACCAAAAAGGCTTCTTATAAATCAAAAGTGATTAAGCATACATTAAGAAGCCATACTGGCTAAACAGTCACTGCCTGTTGGCAAACAGCTACACTAGATTTGCATTGGTCTATTAGCAAGATTTAAAAATCTGATTATATTAATCAACATTAAACTTGCAAATTTTATTCACTGAAGGGTGGCAAAAAAGATTTAATCACAAACAACTGAAAATAAACACATATTAGTTTTCAGCTTGCTGAAAATATGCCAAGACTGTCCAAAACCATTAATGCAAGTAATGATACAATCTTAATTCCATTTTTTAATGTAAATTTTAATGTCTCTACTTCTTTATTTGAAGAAGTGATCTAAACTGTTTTCATTTCAACTGTACAAATCTGCAACACATATAGAGGACTGTGCTGGGATGAAGACCAAAAATCACTTAAAAACAAACAAAAAAGACAAGGGTGACATGCTGATATGGTTCACATAAGTTAACCACAATAACATAAGGCTTCACTATTTTCACTCTTAAAGGAATAACTACACAGCAGTAACTGTTCAATGTCTTTGTAAACTACCCGACCAGAAGTTCCACTTCCTTTCTTTAGTTGTATTACTCAAGAAATTCTGTCTTTTTTTTCCCATACTATTATGGAAATGCACCTGACAAGCAAGAAATCTGAAGAACAGGGACAGGAAGAATACAAGGAGTTGTGACATACACAGAATTACAATATTCTATTTTTTTAATATGAAAATATATTTCCAATAACTAGAAATAAGAACAAATGCTTAGTTTATGCCAGTTTCACTAAGTCTGGGATCTATTAGATCAAGTCTGTTACAAACATCTATATGGTATACAATTTAATTAAGGAGATTTATTTAATATAAAAGAAATAAAAAGACAGAAGCTAAGAAACCAGACCAATAGTCCCTCCCCATCTGAAATACAAGGGCTTCTTTATAGTGGCTTTCAATTCTCACTACAAGTTAACCATGGCAATAGCAAAAATCACCAGAACACATGTTAATGTTAACAGAATATGTGACAATTTGTGGCTGACCACATGAGGTGGGGGTAAACCAATAATTTGGAATAGTCTAAAAAACGCAAAGAAATTAAGCTGTAGAGAGATAAATAGACATCTGTATATTGTCCTTAAAAACAGTCCAATTTAATCTCCAAGTGCTTTTTAAGGTTTATCAGCTGGATGAATATGAAATATGAGGTTTAATGTACCTAATATTTCAGATTATAACCCTGCACAATGAAATTTTATATTTGGAAGGAAAGGAGAGGAAAAAATTTAAGAAGGCAGCACTATCCTGAAGCTATTCCAATGTAATTTTAGGTATGATGCAATACAGAAAAATATTATTTGAGGGAAAAAAGCAAGGATGAGAGATTGAGTAACAAGATTAAACAGTTAAGGTTCATTGTGTGGACATCTAGATACCACTGTCATGCTTTCAGTTTGGGGTAAGAGATCCCAAGGGAACAGAAGTAATAAAGTAAAAGGCATAATTAATGACAAAGACCACAGTGAAAGCAGAGAAAGGGAGATGAAAATTAGATAGGGCAACGTAAACATGCTATTTTATCCCACATGCTCCACCCAAACAAAGAAAAAAACAAGGGAGTAAAGAAGAAAAAAACAGCCTAAAGCAACTAGCACAAAGACTGAATGGGGACAGGGGGAGGAGAGGTAAGGGAGGAGAGGCAGGCAAGAAGCTGGAATCCAAAATAGAATGCAAAGCAGAGTAACAATATATCAGTGTGACATTATACAAATTACAAGTACATCTTTAAAAAGAATAGCAATTAATTTCCAAAAATCAGCTACATAAAAAAAAAATTCTGTATTAATCACAAGTTTATAAAGCGTATTATAGTATTTTCTTATTTTCTGTTTAGTCACTGGAACGTTTTATATACAGTACTAAGAGAACAGCCAGAAGCAGAAACTACACCCTCCACCACCATTACCTTCAAAGAAAAGAGAAATCAGAAGATGATCATAATACATGGGGATTAATATCCAAGTCTATCACAGATGGTAATTTCTCATACTTGAATCTCTGTTTTTGTTTCTTATGCACTGAAGTCATGGAAATGAGCAAGAATTCCTTATGTTTTGTCTTCAGCTAGAGCCAAGTTCACATTTTGTCTTAGGCAAAATTTTAAGCTTAGACAACAACTGGACAGACAACAAGAAAAAATATCCAGTTCAACAAATGAACTGCAGCTAGGCCTCCAGGTTGGAACACTTTGCTTCTAATTACACAGGATATTCAATATGTTGTGGGATCTGGTTAGGGATTAACTAATGTACTAAATGCAGCCACCTAGGACACAGATTCATAGAAAAACACATTTCACAAGAAGCCACCAAATCAGACAACCTTTTGATACCCAACATCAATAAAAAATATCTCACAAAACATATTTAGGGGTTAGGAGATGTATAACACAGATAACACTGGATTGGGACACACAACTGATACATCAGAGCGCTGTGCTGTTATGCAGAATGATCTTGACAGGCAGGAGAAATGTCTTTATCTTGACCCATGAGCCTCTCATAATATTTTTTCTCCCCTGTCTGGCTCAGCAAGGGAGTGACTGAGCAGTTTGGAATGGGCACCTGGTGCTTAGCCAAGGCTAACCCACCAGAAAGACTAATGATACCTTTGGCTGCATGACCCAAAGCATGGCCGGGACATCACAGAGGGGATCCTTCCCCTCGGTGCTGGTGAAGCCACACATGGAGTGCTGTGTCCTGTGCTGGGCTCCCTGGTGTGAGAAAGACATGGTCATACTGGAGGGAGTCCAACCAAGTATCATGAAGATGCTGAAGACACTGGAGTATCTCTGCTACCAGGACAGACTGAGAGAGTGGGGACTGTTCAACCCCAAGAAGAGAAGGATCAAGTAGACCTCATCAAGGTATAGAAATATATGAAGGAAGGGTACAAAGAGGATGAAGCCAGGTGCAAACTCATTCAACATCTTTATCAGTGATCTTGGCCAGGGGATCAAGTGCACCTAAGACAGTTCACAGATGACACTAAGCTGGTGGGAGTGTTGATCTGGCGAGCAGGAAGGTTCTGGACAGGCTTAATCAACGGGCTGAAGCCAGTTGGATAAGGTCCAACAAGGCCAACTGCTGGATCCTGCCCTTGGCTCACAACAACCCTCTGTAGTACAAGACTGCCCCATGGAAAAGCATCTCCAATCACCCACTGTAATTGTTGGCTGCCTTGTATTTTTTTCTTCTTGCTCTGTGTTTATTCAGGAAGGCAATGTCCTCCCCCTGCCCACCCCAGCAGGGTATTAGTTCTGTATCAGATCAATTGATCACTGTGCCAGCAGGCAACTGCTGGCCTTCTATTGCAACAGAAAAGGTGTGAGCATACAGTTGGGGCTGCCCCTACTTGGGGAGCAACCCATACTGGATATGGTGTAGTATTAAACATATTTTTGAAAAATTAAACTGGTAACTTTTCAAATATGGCTTGCCTTTTGGTTTAATTTATATTGTGCAAATTCCCATCTTCTGCTACCAACAAAAACTTCAGATATGAATACCAAAGGGATAATAAAAAAGAGAAACATGATTGCTCTTAATATTGTTTAAATTAACCTTCTCCAAAATTTGTTCTGCTGAGAGTAAGTATGATGCCTATTTTTAAAAGAAATATTATACAGAAACCTATTGCCCAGTCCATCACAGGGAAAACAATATTAATACATTAAATAAAGGACCGTAATTTGAATTTTCTTGTATGCATTTCAGCAGTGAAACTGGATTCATTCTAACAGTATCTATTCTTTGAATGCTTTCCAAGCATGTTAAAATTAGACAATATGTATTTCTTTCCCATTTAACTAGAAGAATAAAATGGTAATTAATAT